GTATAAGCACTCACCACACAAGTCTACCAACCTAAGGCCAGATCCTCAGGACACATGTAAAAGTAGGGCACTGTAGAAAATCTATTTGGAATCCCTGTGTGTCCCTACAGGGGGATGAAGACAGAGAAATCTCCAGAAATTCAATTTCACCTGGTCAATAAAGGTGAAGACATGACATCTCAAATAACATAGGAAAGAGAGGACCAACATCCGAAGGCTGTTCTTCTGACCTTCATAATGCACTGTGACATGCATATACCCCCCCAAGAACATGCACTAACATGCATTAACATGCACTCACACATATATACACATGTACACACACTGGGGTTAAAAAAAAAAACCTTGCTATTCAAGTTTGACTACTGAGTTTGGATCTACAGAATCGACAATGGAACCAGAGAACTAACTCCCAAAAGTTGTTACACACACACACACACACCCCACATACACACAAATTAAAAAAAAAATCTTGAAACTCATGAGGGCCTGGTCTGTTAGAGTTAGAGTGAGGTTCAAGAAACAAAAGATACCCTTCAGGTCTGACCTTCAATAAAGAAGAGAAATTCCTGATTCAGCATGCACATGGAGGCCTCAGGAAAGATTTTTGTCTGTTACTCTGGCTGGCCTGAAACTTGTTATTTAAACCAAGCTGGCTTTGAATTCACAGCGATCTGTCTGCCTCTGCCTCTGAAGTGCTGGATTAACGGTGTGTGCCACCATGTCTTGCATGGGAAAGAGGCTTAAACAAGGAATAAAAGATCCTCTCACAACTGCAGCCCCCATGGCTGAGCGGTAAAGCACTGCGTACTCCACTGCAGGGGCCCGAGTTCGAGTCCCCGGTCTGGAGGTCCAGCAAACATTTGTCTTTTTTGAAAATAAAATTATATTTTTTTAAAAAAGAAATATAAAAAAAAGATCCTCTCACAGTTGGTCTAGTGAGGCTGTGGGACACGAGGGTAGATGAACTTCAGTATGCCTATCATGGAAGCAAAGATGCCGCAATAACTACTGTCTGAGAAAGAAAGTATGAATGAATGCAATCAGTCCCTAATGGACTGGCTCACTTGAGTCATTAGGGCCATTTGCTAATTACTTGCTGGAGTTCCCATGAACATTAGGGACTGGAAGACAATTATTCTCATTGCATATTCTCTATTCTCGACATTACTGAAAGGACTGGGAATAAAAGAAGTGGGGTTTGATGCCCAGTTCGCTGCCAGATAAGAAGTCATTTCTTTGGGGACATTGGGAAAGAATGGGTGTTAACAGCTTTGCTGAGCCTCGGGGGGGGGGGGGGGGGGTACAAAATATGTTTGTGAGGTAGTAGAGGCTGGTAGGTGTGAATGACCTAGACTAGCATGCAAATTGGGATCAGAAAGTGCTGAAGCATTGGGGGGAGGGATGCAGAGAAGAAAGCAGACAAGGGGGCCTGTCTGGGTATGTCTGGCAAGATCTGTGTTGAACTGGAGTTCTGAGGGGAAAAAAGCCCTGATCAAGCGCCAAGGCTGTGTTTGTGAATCTCTCTAAGGCTCTGAAACAGAAGAGCAGCTCACCAAAACAGTGAAGAGCGGGGGTACAGGTGATCCCCACCGTATCCTTTCCTGTGAAGAAAGGACAGCTCATGTACTATCAAACCTGCAGGTCACAGCTTATGCCCTAAATCGGGTCTTGCCACCTGGCCTCAATAAGTCAATTAGAAGAGCCAAATTATCAAGAAAATGTCCTGAATGAAATAAAAAAGGAAGAGCCAAATTAAAGTGATTTGAAAGCAGATAAAAGGATTTATTCAATGTGGGAAGAGGGATAAAGAGAACCAGGAACACCACGTCTATCTTTGGGGTCCTTTTCCCAGCATGAGATTCCAGGAAAAATTCCCCTTTCTCTCTCTCTCTCTCTCTCTCTCTCTCTCTCTCTCTCTCTCTCCTCTCTTTCCCTCTTTCTTTCTTTCTTTCTTTCTAGATTTATTTACTTAATCATTTTTGGTTTTTCAAGACTTGGTTTCTCTGTAACAGCCTTGGCTGTTCTGGAACTCACTCTATAGACCAGGCTGACCTCAAACTCACAGAGATTCACCTGCCTCTGCCTGCTGAGTGCTGAGGTTGAAGGTGTGTACCAACACTGTCTGGCATAACCTAAATATCTTTCAACTGATTAATGGATAATAAAAATGTGGTACATATAAACTATGAATATTATTCAGCTGTAATCAAAATGAAATAAAGATCTTACAGATAAATATATGAAACCAGAAAAGATCACAGTGAGTGACGTGACCCAGACCCAGAAAGACAAACACTGCGTGTTTTCTCCCACCTGTGGTTCTTAGCTCCCCATCTTCAGATGTGCACTTATAACCTGGATTAAGTGCAGAAACCAGGAAGTAAAGGGAGAGTATGGGGGCCAGGGGGAGCAACGGAGAGGGGAGTAACAGAGTACAATGATCTAAATGGAGAAATGGAAAATTGTAATTACACATAGGAAGGGAGATGAATATAGAAAAAGGATGGAGGAGTGTGAAGTAACATTAAGGATGTCTAGAAAAGTCATAAGGAATCAAAATATTAACTATTTAGTTAATACATATTAACAATCCAATTCTCTATGTATATATATATATTAAATGAAATATAAATTAAATGAAATATATCTATATATTAAATCAAAAAAGTAGTTTAAATGAAAAATGTCCATTTCTGCTAACAATGCTCATCCCAAGATCCATAGACTACTTAACAATGAAAAGTCTCCTTTGAGTTGATGGTCAGAGCTGCGCAAGAGACTCCCAAAACTATACAGGTGATTGCTGCTGCCCTCGGTCACCTCCCAGAGGTGGAAGGTAAGGTACCTATTGCTGAAGACACCATGCATCTCAAAACATTGGACCCAGAGAACCTGAGTCGATCTGACCTGAAAACCTCCTCCTTGAGGACTAGCTTGCATGGTACCAGAAGGCACCATGCAAGCTTCCAAAGGAGGGAAGTAGTCAACGGTCCTAGCCAGCTCTGATGTCTATGAACCAGAGCAAACAGAGAATGACAACCTTAAGGGGTACACCAGTGGCATGCATCCCTTGGCAGTGGCCAACAGCTCTCTAGTTGGACTTATGGCTCTCTTGACAAGACAAAAGCCATGCTTGATACTGGAAACCTAGCCAGATACCCAGGGCTCCAAGTTGTAGATTTTAGAGATTAAACTATGACTGCCCCTCCACTAAGCCAGCATAATTCCCAGCTCCATTCTAAGTATTTATCCTTATTCCTGCAGAAAAGCATAGGTCGCACCCCTCACCAAAGAAACATCTGGTAACAAAAGCAAACAGAGAAAACCCAAACCAATCGAAATGCAGAAAACATGTGACTATGGGGAGCTCAGGCCCAACCGGTACATCTACACCACCGCTCCCGCACCAAAGGCTCAGGGATCATTTCAGAAGAGGGGGCTGTGTAAGAACCAGAGGACCAGGAAATTTGCTGTGAGACTGTCTCTCCTAGAAATGTCAGAGAAGCTACACACATGAAGTCTCATCAACATGGCAGCCTAAATAAGAAAAGAACAGTCAGGCTGCAGCACTCGGGAGGCAGAGGCAGGAGGATCTCTGTGAGTTCGAGGCCAGCCTGGTCTACAGAGTGAGTTCCAGGACAGGCACCAAAGCTACAGAGAAACCCTGTCTCGAAAAAAAAAAACAACAAAAAGAACAGAACAATGACAAAATGACAACACTAATGACAACTTCACATGGAAAGGTGAAGTCCCCAATTGATTACCCTAAATATATCCTATATAATATATACTTTGCATATAATATACACATATATTAGAATATTTTTATATGTCCTTATGTACTATATATAGTAGACTTTATTAGACTGTATTTATATATTTAGGAATACACACACACACCACCACGACCACCATTCCTCCAACAATAATAACACCATTTTTAAAGAGCTCATGAATTTGAGAGAGGCAAGGTGGGGAGTATATGGGATGGGTTAGAGGTAGAAAAGGGAAGTGGGAATGGTGTGATTATAACACAATTTAAAAACAAAAGATTAGTTCATCAATGTAGACATTTGATTATATATTTTTTTTTGGTTTTTTTCAAGACAGGGCTTTTCTGTGTAGCTCTTGCTGTCCTGAAACTCACTCTGTAGACCAGGTTGGTCTCAAACTCACAGAGATCCACCTGCCTTTGCCTCTCAAGTGCTGGGATTAAAGGTGTGTGTCACCATGCCTAGTGACATTTGATTATAAGAGAAATAAAATCTTGACTTCTGTGCAAGAGAAAAAAAGATTGATCTGTAGGCATTTTCTTGATTAATGATTGGTGTGGGAGGGTACTGCCAGCCCTGGACAGGTGGTTGTGGGGCATGTAAGAAAGCAAACTGAGCAATGCAGGAGAAAAAAAGCCAGGACAGCACTCCTCCATGGCCTCTGTATCAGTTCCTGCCCCAGGTTCCTGCCTTGGGTTCTTTTTTTTTTTAATATTTATTTATTATGGATACAATATTCTGTCTGTGTGTATGCCTGCAGGCCAGAAGAGGGCACCAGACCCCATTATAGATGGTTGTGAGCCACCATGTGGTTGCTGGGAATTGAACTCAAGACCTTTGGAAGAACAGGCAATGCTCTTAACCTCTGAGCCATCTCTCCAGCCCATCCTGCCTTGGGTTCTTGTCCTGACTTCTGCTCATGATGGACTACATCTGTAAGATGAAATAAACCCTTTCTTCCCCATGTTGCTATTGGTTATGGTATTTATCGCAAAAATAGGAACCTAACTAAAAGAGGACCTCTTGAGCCCCTCCTTTCTCTATGATATGCTGCTAATTGGCAAAGCTATTGCAAGTTTCCAGCAGGTAATCATAACTGCTGAGGGTTCCAGAGAGCAATGGTCATGTCCTGTCTGAGGGTGGTGTTTCACAATTCTACCTTTTCCTCTGGCTTTTACATTCTTTTTTTTTTCTGATACAAAGCAATTTATTAACAGAAAATAATTTGAGAAGTCCTGTTCACAGACGCCGACCACGGCGACCCCGGCGACCCCCCTTCCTCCGGGTGCTGTCAGAGGGAATGGGAGTGACATCCTCAATCCGCCCAATCTTCATCCCTGAGCGAGCAAGAGCTCTGAGGGCTGACTGGGCTCCAGGTCCAGGGGTCTTGGTCCTGTTTCCTCCTGTGGCGCGGAGTTTGATATGCAGGGCAGTGATGCCCAGCTCCTTGCACCTCTGGGCCACATCCTGGGCAGCCAACATGGCTGCATATGGAGAGGACTCATCTCTGTCAGCCTTTACCTTCATTCCACCAGTCACCCGGCAGATGGTTTCCTTGCAAGAAAGATCGGTTACGTGGACAAAGGTGTCATTGAAGGACGCAAAAATGTGGCAGACACCAAATAAGTTCTCTCCTTCAGCTACTTGAGGCCCAAGGCTGATGACTTGTTCTTCCTTCTTTTCCTTCCCCTTGCGAGGTGCCATCTCTGACTCGGATACCGCGCACAGACCTCGGCCCCGACCCCGCAGATGTCCCTGACCAGTGGATGTCGCACGATTCTCGGCTGCCAGGCCTCCTACCTGAACGTCGTCTCTGGCTTTTACATTCTTTCCACCTCCTCTTCCTGCCCACTTTTTCTGAGCCTTGGAAGGCGTGCTATAGATGTGCCATGTAGGGCTGAGCATTCAAAAACCACTTATTTTTATATACTTTGAGAAACTGCAGTAAGTAGGGCCCACTGCCAAAAACCTCCCTGACTAAAGCTGACGGCGGCACTCATCTGCAGGCATAAAAACACAATTGACAGGCGAATCATGCCCATTCAGAAAAACAGCATCCCTCCTCTGCTGGGGCCTGTGTCCTCCCCAGCCACAGTCTTCTGATGGGACTCACAGGACCAGGTGGGAACTCCTCACTTAAATCCAATCAGGAAGCAATTGGTTGAACCTATATTAGTCCCTGCCACTATTGCACCACCAGAGACGTCTTTTCTGGCAGATCAGTAGTGTAGTATGTACACAGGACCCGCAGTGACACTTATCCCCCTAACAGCCTGAATAACACCTCTTAGCACTGGGAAAGCTAGCCAGCAGGAGAAAGCTTCTAGTTCAGTCCCAGCTTCGTTTTTCGTTTTCTGAGTCCCACAATCAAAACACTCAGTGCCTAAGCAATAGGATCTTACCATATAGTTCTGGTAGACAAACGACAGCAGTCTCAATAATTACAATAGCCTGTATTATTTGGGTGGCCTTGAGTGTTGGGGGCACAGATGTCCTTGTGCTCACAGAAAAGCACTAAGACAAGGAGGAACGTGAATCACGCAGGGGTGTCTCCTCAATGGAGGTGATGCAAATAAAATACCTGCGTTCCATCCAGAAAGCTGAGAATGGGTTTTGTTAAGGACCTGGTGCCCATTTTGCTATTCACAGACGCAGAGGTCACCTACCTTTTACTAGAGAGGCAGACTTCACCTAAACTCCCCAGAATGATCAATCCAGACTCTTCCCTCTCTAGACCTTTACCATCCTTACGGGAGATGTTACACATACTTTGTGACCTGCTGACCTCTATGCTATTGGTCAGAGACCACATTAGATTCTAGGCCTTTAAGCTGTTGAACCCACCCTCATGGTACTTTGTAAAGGGATTTCTATGTAGTTGCACCTTCCCCCCCCCCCCTCGTTTTTCGAGACAGGGTTTCTCTGTAGCTTTGGAGCCTGTTCTGGAACTAGTTCTTGTAGCCCAGGCTGGCCTCAAACTCACAGAGATCTGCCTGCCTCTGCCTCCTGAGGGCTGGGATTAAAGGCATGCACCACCACTGCCCCGGGTCTGTAATTACACCTTAAGCTTTACTGTGAACCTGGAATTGGACTGATTGTTGCCTGGAAACCTTTTCCCAAATTGTACTGGGTTTTATATTTGCTGACAATGAACCACATGGCATTAGACTCCCTGAAGTCTGATCCAGGTTGACAAAGTCAGTACACACCGAGTTTTCATTCCCTTTCTCTTCAAGGGCTTCACTTCCCTGTCCAACACCTGCAGGGACCCCCTCACTTGGGGGTCTCCCTCGCCAGCTAACAACAGTTAGGGAAGTGGTCAACACCTACCACTGTGATGTTCATCCAATAACCTATTGCTCCTGGAAGAACCCTTTTCCATCCATGGAGATTATCTTCATCCAAACTTTTGGCAGTTCTTTCTACATTGACAAGCATAGCCTGTTGGGAACGTTTTCTCCTCCTTCACCTTGTTGTATGGCATCTGTGCCTTATCCAACCCAAAAGCTTCTAAGAATCTCAAAGCTGCACCTGGTCCTTGTACTAAGTTTCCATAGTTGCCCCTTTAAGATGTGCTGGCACATCTTCCAGTTGTTTTTCTAAAACATTTGGAGGTTAGCATTATATCAGCTATGAAATGAAACCTTTTTGCAAAGGGCAGGAAAGATCATTAGAGTCCTCCACTTGCCCATTTTAAGTGGGTACTGCTGGTTACCCCACAAGCCCGGAGGCTGGCAGGGAGACAACCCACGTGAGGTGAAGAATGAGACTTGAGTCAGTACCGCTTAGGCAGAAAACTTCCAGAGTCTGACCTCATAGTGTGTTCTTCTTATATCTTAAGCACAGTAAAACTTGGGGAAAAGGTCTCCACGTGACAGTTACCATAACACAACTTTAGGCATTGCTACCTCGAAAATCCTTAGCAAGGTGACAAAGCACATGTGGCCTTCACAATAAGGATAAGTCCTATCGGTTGATAAATAGAGCTCACTGGAGGCCTCCACCGCCATTCTAAGCAAGTGCCAATGAATTCGGGAGTCAGTAGCTAAGAGGATCCTAAATAAAAGCATTAGCAAGGCCTAATACAGCATGAAAAGATCCTACTTGTTCCCTCAAAAGAACAGTGCTGGGGACAGCAGCGTCGATGGAAGGCATTGTCTTCTACAACCCACAACCATTCTCCAGGACCAATCCTACCTCCTCACCCTGGGTGCTGCCACACAGCTGCCACACAGCTGCCACACATCTTCCCACCTCCAATAGGTTGGTGGGCTCAGCTCTGGCTGTGCTATGGCCAAGGGGCAGGGCAGGCTCTCACCACTGGCCACATCTAGCTGCTGAGTAGGCACTGGGCTGGGTAAATAATTTCCACCTCCAACATACTTGCTTTTGTTTGTTTGTTTTTCGAGATAGGGTCTCAAAATTGCTTTGTAGACCAGGCTGGCCTTCTGGCCTTGAACTCACAGAGATCCACCTACCTCTGCCTGGGATTAAAGGCCTGTGTCACCACCACCCAGCTTCCAATATATATATTCTCTCTCTCTCTCTCTCTCTCTCTCTCTCTCTCTCTCTGGTTTTTTGAGACAGGGTTTCTCTGTGTAATAGCCCTGGCTGTCCTGGAACTCACTCTGTCCTCGAACTCATTGAGATCTGCCTGCCTCTGCCTCCCAAGTGCTGGAATTAAAGGTGTGTACCACCACCACCCAGCCCAATATACATTCTTTTATTTTTGTTTGTTTGTTTCTTTTAAGATTTATTTACTTTATGTATATGAGTGTTCTATCTGCATGTACACCTGCAGACCAGAAGAGGGCATCTGGTCTCACTACAGATGATTATGAGCATTAATTGGTTGCTGGGATTTGAACTCAGGACCTTTGGAAGAGTAGTCAGTGCTCTTAACCTCTGTGCCATCTCTCCAGCACCCCCCATATACATTCTTATAAGAAAGAAATGAAGAACACAGCTTACTCTGAGGAGATACGTGCCCACCCTTGGACAAGCTTGGCCTCTTATAACCTGCATAGTTGTCATTATTTACCTCCCCTAAACTTTTGCCTAAGCGCTGAAACCTTCCAACGCTCATGAGCACTGAGTTTGGCTGGCTGTCAAAAGTTTTCCTTAGAAACTCCAATTTGACACAAATGTTATCCATTTGCTTTATTTATTTATTTATTGGTTTTTTGAGACAGGGTTTCTCTGTAGCTTTGGAACCTGTCCCGGAACTAGCTCTTGTAAACCAGGCTGGCCTCGAACTCACAGAGATCCACCTGCCTCTGCCTCCCAAGTGCTGAGATTAAAGGCATGAGCTACCACTGCCCGGCTCCATTTGCTTTTGAGTGATGCATGTCCCCCATTTTTCTCACCCCCTCTTGATTGATGCATCACTTTAGGAAAGCAATTTAATGTCAGCCCAAATCATTCAGATCTACCAGAGACTCTCTTACCTCATAAAGAACATTGTCCCACCATGGGTCTCAGAAAGCCACTGAAGCCCCACACAAGTCTCAAGGTCCCTGTTAAACCAACCTCTTTCTTAACTCCTATAAACACATTCTTGACTGGCGCAGTGAGCTGGGCATCAAGCCCTGCCTTCCTCATGCTGAATCTCCTCTACAATACCAGTCCTTGTCCTTCCTCTACTGTTTCCAATTCCCTAATGGTTTGTTTGTTTTGAGACAGGGTTTCTCTTTAGCTTTAGAGTCCATCCTGGAACTAGCTCTTGTAGACCAGGCTGGCCTCAAACTCACAGAGATTCACCTGCCTCTGCCTCCCTAGTGCTGGGATTAAAGATTTGTGCCACCACCGCCCAGCACTAATTCCCTAAGGTTCATGAGGATCTCAGCCAGCAACAACTACATGTCCCTACTAACTCAAATGAGACAGTCCATCAAAAATAGCATGATACAGGCAACTCCAAAAATTCTACAGTTAGCAACAGATGTGATAAAAGTCAATGCTTCCCCCAAAGCTCAGAAACACACAAGGAGGTGGCCTCTTACTGCTCCCAGTCAACCCTGAACTGGAGGATTGATCCAGGGTATTAGACACGGAAAGGAAGTGAAAGGCATCTCTACTGGAAAGGAAGGAGTAAATCTCTCTCTGATTTTGTACATAGAATATTCTTTTTATTTTCTTTTTTATTATATTTATCTTAAACATTTTCATACACTATATTTTGAGAGCCAGGCATGGTGGTGCACTACTTTAATCCCAGCACTCAGGAGGCAGAGGCAGGTGGATCTCCGTGAGTTTGAGGCCTGGTCTACAGAGCTAGTTCCAGGACAGCCAGAGCTACATAGAAAAACTATCTCAAAAACAAAACAAAACAAAACCCTCATATATTTTGAACACGTTCTTTCTACTCCCTCAAGTCCTCCTATATTTTCTTTATCCCTCCTCCCAGCCATCTTCATGTTTTGTTTTCTTGGGGGCTTTGCTGTTGCTTGTTTGTTATTGTTTTTTATTTCTTGAGAGAAACCAATAGAAGAGTCTAACTATCACAGTCCCATTAGTATATGAATTCAGCAAGGCTGCAAGATGCACGATTGTATGCGATGCAAGATTATGCAAAAGTTAATTCTATCCATGAGCAATTAAACTATAAAATGAAATCAAGGTGTTAGGGATTTAGGGCTGGAGAGATGGCTCAACAGTTAAGAGCTCTTTCTGACCCTGCAGAGGACTCAGGTTGGGTTCCCAGCACCTTAATGGTGACTCACAACCATGGGAAACCCCAAGCCCTCTTCTGGCCTCTGCATGTACTGTACATACATAGTACACTTAACATACACTCAGGCAAAACCCACGTACAACTAAGCAATAAAATCTTTTCTA